GGGCACCTGCCAGGGGCTACATAACTCGGCTGCTTAGATAATTACATATTTATGATTCTGCTGAGAATTCTTAGTCAAATGAACTGTAAAATGCCTAGAGACTCAGCAGAGAAAGTTCTCTGGCAAAGCTACTTCAAAATAGAGCCACCACTTCTGAAAAAAATTTAAGGACAGCAGTTCCCTTTTGGTTGATTCATTCAGTAGAGAACTTTAACTAAGGGTAGAAAAAGGAGGCAAGGGGTGGTTTTCCTCTGAATAAGAAAGGCATCTTATTAGTGTGTAAGCTTGCTTTCTATGAAAACAGAGAAAATTAAAAAAACTTATAAAATGGATCAGAATGCAGCAGTACATAAATTTTTAAGTGCTTATCACAGTATGCACCCTACAACACCACATCACACAATTTCTCTTCTGTAACATATTATTAGCATTTTCCCTTCAACACATATCCCACTTGATCAGCTAATTCATGCTGATCCAGTAAATAGACCTTATGGAGATACACTTGGAAATATAATTGTTCAGGTGCAACCAATTATCAGACAAAATACATTGCACTTCACCTTCCTTCACTGATAATAGCATCCACTGATTTTAGAAGGAGCACAACAGTAAAAAATTTCATGTTGTCACTTCGTTTAGTCTATTTCAGAAACTGCTAGAAATACTGAAATACTTTTTTTTTTTTTTCCACATTTAAAGCTTTACCACATAAAGTGCACGACCAACAGCCTCAACAATAAATTTTATGAGCACTTTTAGACCCTACCGTTGAAAATGCTTTCAAGCTTGGTTAACTCTCTGCATGGGAATACTCCTTATTTATATCTCGAAAGAACTGCTTCCTGCTCTTGAAGGTACATGTAGGCACATGCACATGTATTTGAATAATAAGGGCGTTAGTCTTGCAGGGTTATTTATTTTGAAGCAACTATTCATTGCTCTTGCAGCCAACATCTTAAGCACTGCCAAGTTTCATAAACTCTTGAAAGCAGGGGTCCTTGTTGTCAGTGTAATGAAAACGAACCTTCAGCTTTACCACCTTTGCAAAGGTCTGCCCACCCACAGATAGTCTTTTGTATATAGTCATAGCTGTGAGATGACATTCAGCTTCTGTTGCAACCAAGTCAATTGTGCAATTCCAGTGCAAACCCTGGAGCTAGCAGCATGGACTTCCCACTGTCCTTGGCAGGCAACAGCAGAGGCAGGGCTTCCACACCAAACCCAGCTCCTCCAGTTCTGGGTGCAGGCTCCTGTCCTCTTTGCTTATCTTCCTCTGCATGAAAGCATTTTAACATAGTGGACTATCAGAAGGTTAATCTGGCAGATCAGCATTTAAATGGACTTAGTTGTTGTGGAGCCACAGGCTAATAGTTATATTCATTTATTCCTTCTGCTGTCTTCTAAAGAGTGGTAAGGGCACAGGACAGCACTATAGAAGGCTCCACAAAGGAGTCTGAAGAAAAAGTCTTGCTGTGGTCTTGAGATTTTTGCAGACATTTTCCAATTCCTTCACTGAATGCCTTTTTCTTAGAAGTGACTTCTTCATCCTCCCCAACTCCTTCAATGTCTCCTGCCGTTTCTGGGCTAAATCCACTGAGTAGATAGTAACACTGAAGTGTTGCACATACGGAATTTCCTGGCTCAAAAGACTTCGTGCCTGCAGAGTCTCCTGTAACAAGTCTCTTACAGGTGAAAACAGTCAATGGAACACAGTGAGTGCGTTACACCTTCAAAACACAGTTATGATATATTCACCTAAAAGTAGATATCATTGAAAAGAATGGATTAAAAACACCTACTTTGTATTCCCCTCAAGACTACGAGGACATGACTTAGTCTCCAGGAAAGCAGAGTTGTCAACAGCTAAATAACTTTGTGCTCACTGCCTGTCCTCAGATTTTGCCTGTGTCAGCTTGTAATAAATGACAACATCCTCTATTCTCTTCTGCAGGAGACCTTTTTAACTGATCAGTGTCTTGATCTTTGTGAAGCTAACACTGCAGCAAGATATGGAGCCAAGAACCCAGGCTGCTTCAGGATGCCTCTCAGAAGGCCACCATGTGACTTTTCTTGCTCAGTTCTTCCACGACAATTTTGCTACTTCCTTCAAAATTAAATCCATCACAGCAAGCTGTCATATGACCACTACAAATCAATACTTCCCAGTTTTCTCTAAGTTCCTAGTTTTTGCACTTGCCTTTTTTACCTATGTAGACACACACCTGTGTGTGTATAGATAGATGCACACACAAGCACATCAATATATAGCTGCACATATTTATGCATACACACAAACACAAGCCTGCTCCAGTGACTTGTAGAAAACAGAAAGGCAAACTGCTTTACTTCTAAAATTTGTAAGAGATGTCTTGCAAGGTATGATGGTAAGCTACTTGTTCCATCACATAACAAGAAAATGAACTTGTTAAAGACATTTCAGAAATCCTGACATGATCATTTGCTTAGTCCAAAGGCCCAGGACTCATGATTTTTATTTCCAACACATTCATTAATCCTTATGACTTAGTACCATGTTACAAGCCTCTAAATGAATCTTCAAAATCCTAGAGAAAGTAGCATTAACCTTCACTTATCATGCCTTTTTTGTTAAGCCTTTGCATCTCTCCTTTGAGCCTCCAAGGAACATTTCAGTTGACTGGAAGAACAGGAAGGAAAACTTAGACCAACTGAACACAAGCTTATTCTCTTTTAGCAGGCTGTATCACAATGTTAATATTTTATTTAAAAATAAATTGCCAATAACTAAAATATGCTTATAAGAAGTAACCAGTATGTTACCCTATCTAGTTATTGATTAACAGATATATTGGGGGAAAAAATAGCATGCTTTAATTATCTTAAAAACAGAAAAGGAGAAAAAAAAAAAAGAGGATGTGTAACTTCTGTATTTGACTTTTTTTAGTAGTAAGAAATGCAACGGACAATTACATTTTAAAAAAATCTGATAAAAAATGCTAGTATCATTGCTGAAGAGAATCTGAATCAAATCTATGTATTGAACATTGGTAACCAAGTTAAACCAAGTCCTGTCTGGGAGAATAACATAAATTGCTTTTTTCAGGTCAACCTCTGGCCCATACTTTGTCTACGCACATCAGAGAAAAAGAATATGATAAAAATATATGAAAGTCTTTTTTACTATAAATTACGTTACGGTATTATATCCTTCTGGGATGGTGAAGAATGTGTCTAGCTTGCCTCCTAAATCTACAAACTGTTTAAAAATTAATTATGGGGTGAGTAATTGTTTAGAAATCTCCAAAATAATTAAATATAAAAACTTATAGCACAAAAGCAGCCTTTAAAGAAAGTGGGGATTATTTCACTTCAGTACAAGTAACAGTTGAGTATGTTTTATGATCACTGTAAAAACTAGCATGCCCTTGAGACTGTGAAACTCTGAATTTCTAATATAATTTGTAGGGGGAAAATTAGGACAAAACGCAGAAACATTTCAAGTACAGTCTCTCAGTATTTTAAAATTTTATGAAGTATAAGGACTAGGTTAATATGGAATGAGTCATGTTTTTAAGAGAGGCAGTAATACAATCCTGTATTTTAAATCATAACTGAAAACATGTTCAACTAATACAAAATAAAAAGAAGTAAGAGTAGCTTTTTGTTGGAAAAAGGTCAACAACAGCAATGAAAATTTAGCAATAATAGAAAAAGCTGAGAGTGCTGCTAGTTTCAGTTTCAGAAAGCTAAAACGCCACGCTAAGCAACCAGGTAAAAATGTCTTCTCACTCAACAAATCCTTTCCCACCAGCTGAAATTCATTCCAAATCAGCATAAACTTTACACATGGCAACTCTGAGCCTAAATATCAGGCTATTAAATGACATACACACTTGGTGCGGGTCTTCTGATTTTAGAGTTATATTTGCTTTACTTAGTGCCAAATATACACTGCATTCCATTCCATGATGTCCTCGAGAGTCAACAGAATCCCTTACTATGTTTGAAAGTAAAGCAGTTACACCCAAGCAAACTCTCGGAGTGTCATTTTGCTCACAGGGCAAAGACAGCGGACTTGCAAAGGCATAAGTGATGATATAATTTATTTACATGTTCTTTAGATCTATGTCTGCATGCAAACCAAAGGAACCCAGCTTGGCTTTCAAACCTCAAATTGAGTCCTCAAAGCTAGTGGACAGAAACACTGTCCCTTCAACTTTTGTACTGAGTACAATGATCTAGAGATGCTTGAAATACAAAACTCAGGCTGGTACTTTATGCATTTCTTTCTCAGGACTAATGCTGCAATTCCCTTTCTTTTACACCTCATCTGTGACAACACAAAGCACCAAAACTGCTGAAAAGGTGTATTTGATCAAAGCTGGATCATTAAGTTCCAGTCCTTCTCTTCAGACCTCACCTCTGCCCTCCATCTGCACAACTATCAGAAAGCGTAAGTAAAGCCATAAAGACAGTCTGCAAACCTACAACAGTCTGTAACAGTGAGTAATATTCCAGAGATGGAATAAGATGGCATCAACCAAGCCCCTTTCTATAGGAGCTATAATTATAACTTCACTTGCCTTACACTGTCAGATGTGCTGAAGTAAAATACACCTGACACCACAGATTATTTTTGTCTCTAGGAGAAGCTTTTAGCACTGAAACAAACTACAGAGAGCACCCGAGTGGGGGCAATAGAGCACTTGGCTCAGTTACAGCTCACCCCAAACAAGCATTTGGCCAGAAGAGGAAGCAAAACCAGTTACCAACAGGATGAGCTATGTTATTGTCAACTCACGCTTCTTGCTTCAAAATTAACACGCTGCCCTACTTTCCGCGGGATAAACCCAGATTCAATTTTAATAGAATAATGCTCTAGATGTTTCTTAATAATAATAATAATTTGTGTACTAAAAAGTAGCTTTTCTAAAAATACTATTTGCAACACAAGCTGGCTTGCAGTACATCTGCAGGAAGGAACTACACCACTTAGAATCAGTTAAAAAGGTACTCACCATTGGCAGTGCATTGATATGTGGAAGTTTTCCTTTCAGGTGCCTCTTGCCACAGAAGGGTGATGCTGACGAGGGGATAAAGAGAGAAAATAAGAAATATTAACATTTATTATTTTCAAAACAGTGGTGTTAACACAATAGAAAGTTATCAAGTATGGGCCTTCATGGCTCTTGCAGCCTACTCTGTAGGAGGAGGTGAGCAATTACCACTGAATTTGTGTACAGCCCAGAACAGCACGACCAGGCACAGAAGAGCAGAGAGCTGGGGTTTTGCATATATCCTGTCACTAACCACATCACACAACTGCTCCTGTGGGGAGCCTGAAACAGACCTTTGAACAAATAAGCCTGCTGAATGAACACTTACACCATCAGACCTCAAAACAGTCGCACCCATTCAGCACGAGCATCCACAAACAAAACAACCTGTATATAAAAAATCTGATGTCTGGATTTTGCCTAAGCTCTCCCAGAAGAGGCAAAGTACACAGCTCACAGTATCTTCCGCCCACACTAATTTTCTTCTGGAAATACACCTCTGAAAAGCCCCAAACAACAATAAAAAGTTCAGCTGCTTGACTTCCAAAATGGTTACATCCACTGAACAGTAAAAAAAAAAGAAATTAAAAATTAGTGGTTTCCTAACACATATTGCACTAAATAAATCCATGTAAGGTACACAGATGTGCTGATGCACCCATATACCTACCAACTCTTACAGTAACTTCAGTAAACTAAAAAAAAAAACAAAAAAAACCAGCTCATAATAGTTGCTGGCTACACTTGACAGTAAGTACCTAATAGAAATAAATCTTTCACATCTCCAAAACTTGAACAAAAATATAACCCCCAAAAAATTCATGCTCTCCCACATTTTAGTAATTTTCTTTACATATCAATAATGGTGTTATGCATCTAACAATCAAATAGTTACATATAAGCAAACACATCTTGATGTCCAAATATGTGTTAACTCCATCCACTGTAACACCCTTTTTTATTCAGTTATGATAAACTATTTTTATTCACACTAACATTTCTGAGTGGTTGCTCTCCAAATAAATACTTGCCAGGCTGCTTTTCTTTAGGAAATAATCTAATTGCCTACTCAAAGAGCAGGAAAGGGGACAGATGGACATGAGTGACAAATAATTATCAGGCTATTTTAAGACTAAACTATTTAGAAAGCATCTGTAAACTGTGTTCAAGAACTTTTAGTATGAACAAAGAGTAACTATGATTATCGAGGCTAATGATCAACACAAAGTTCTTGCATACATTTTTCAAGCTCAACCAGCAGGTGATTGTTTATTATAAAGCCATTTTTGGACCCTGACAACAGCAGCAGCAGTTGAGCTTATTTTATTCTTAGAAGATGCCACTGCACCACCAAGGCAGGCGGAAACATAACCTTCACAGTGCAAGTGAGAGGCACTGCAGAGGATGTTGAAGAATGCAGGAATGCTGGGAATTAAAGGAATTTGCAAACATGCTCTTGTTCCCTTGCTTAGTGGTACTGGTGCTGAAGAAATTATGTAAATAGGCTGAGGAAAACTCAACACTTCAAGTGGCATGGTGTCCTATGCAGAGCTACTCAGAAAGTTTGTTTTTTCCACAGGCAGAATTTGCAGGCCAGAAGAGAAGAGAAAGCTTTATTACCTCACTCTGCACATCCATACACAAGGGTTTTATATATAACACGAGTTTTTCCTAAAAACAGAACAACGTATCAGCCAATATTTGCACTCTTATTTAGAGAACAGGCTAAATCATTATAAAAGCTGTGTGCAGAGAAAGGAAGAGGAGGGCTTTGCTGCCCTGGTCCAAGTGTGACACTTGGTTTGGGTTATTTCATTTGGGAAGGAGCATGGCAAACAAACAAAAGGATGACTGCACAAATATGAACCATTTTCTTCAATGAAAAAAGGCTTTCTTCAGAATACACTGCCCAAACTGTCTCCTTCAAACATCCCTTTGCCCTTGTGGAATCGTTTGAGTGCTGTGTTTATTGAAGCCAGAGAGGGAAATCTTTCTGTCTGATCCGTGGAAGAGGCTTCTTGTCCTTCACTTTATATCTTAACAGGGCAGTGACACGGAAAGAAGCTGGAAGCAAAGACTCAAGAGAGCAGAGAATGAGAAAAGGAAGAGTTCACTGACTCGGCTTCATTCCTCGCTTATGTTAATTGGTTGTAGGCTCCAGTTTTAAATAAGAGGGCTTGAAATGACACAAACATTTAGAAAACTCTGTGATGCCCTTCTTCAGAACCAAGTGCTGAGTACAAACATCTCATCAGCAGCTTCTTTCTTTCCAAATTTATCCTATAGGGTTTTGCCATTTTGGCACATACCTTGAACAAGGTAGGTGATGGTTATAATATATTGATTTTAGACTATCTCTCACCTTTATATACTGACCTGTAATAGCGATATAAACAGGCAACAAAATGTAGTAACAGCTACCCTATGTGACACTTAAAAATAATCCACCAGCTGCCCTTGAAGTTGATAAAGCAAGCACACCTGGAGAATGCATAACAGCTTGCGAGTTTGGATCCTTCATCTCAGGGAGCTGGGGGTGCACCACTGACTGATGCCTAACGCCTTCAGCATCCACTGAACACTGCTCCCCTCGACTTAAAAAGAAAGATGTACTGACCTGCTCCCATCCTGCACTCACCAGCTTTACCCACACAAGGTTTTTGTCACAAGAATGACACACCTGATGCCTGTATCCCTCCATGACAACACCAAAATGCTCAGTACAATGCCCAACACCATCTCTTTGGAAAGAACATCCCGTCACAGTGCACAGAGGAGCAGCAACACCCACAGCCATAAACTCTTGAGACCTGCTTGCATGTAGAGGTGGCAAAAAGATCCAGGCAACCAAAGTTGCACAAGACAGGCAGTTCCCATCTGCAGGGCCAAAACTAACACACTAAACCAGCTACCAAAAAAGCAAATACTGACCCATGTTGCTAGCACAGATTGGCTGCTGTTATCACCCAAGTAATAATCATGTGGTACAAAGACAAAACCACAGATAAAAACTGTGACAAATCTGGATATAAACCCACAGTGCAGCTGTACACTTAACATTATTCCTTACCTGTTTCCAAAAATAGTAAGTTCAAAAGAAGGATTTGTCTAGAAGCTATTCACAAAAATGTTTAACCATTTGCTTCTAGAAAAGGAATAATTTATGCTATTTTCTCCTACCCATCCCATCTCACAAGAAATTACACTGGGTTCATGCTTTGGCTAAAACAATGTTTTCTGTGTGAGCTTTGAATGGCTTCTGTTTCTCATGTGAATTTGTGTGCTCATGTTTTTCTTCTAATTATCTTATTTTATACTACTGACTGAGATTTTGGTGCTTTAACAACAAATTTAGTCATTAGATGATGTGCTTTGTGAATTACATAAGCCTTCTAAGGACATGGTATTTTTTAAATTCTCCTTGACTATCCTGCTTTTATCTTGATTT